GACATGAAGTAACTATGCTATTTACAAGGCGATACGCCGAACATACCGCCCACCAAAATACGACGTATTTTCTATGCTTGAACAGATTCCTCTGGTGAAGCGTCCATCGGCAGTGGGCACAACTTCACCAGAGGACGGGTAAGCACGCCATCCGCCGTCCGCACCGTAGCGACCCGAGCGACGCCGTCACGGCCCGGGTGCAGCTCCACGATTCGCCCTCGCCTCCATTGCAAGGGAGGGGCGTTTTCACCCTTTACCAGGACCAGTGTGTCCTTTTTTACCGTAGGTGCCGATTGCAACCACTTCGGTCGCTGTTGGAGGGTGTGCAGGTATTCGTCATGCCACCTCTTCCAGAACTGCTGGTGCATATGTTGTACCAGTTGCCACCGATCGAGTCTGTTCATCGGCACCGGGCTCAGGTCAGGGTGTGGAACCGCCACGAGAGGCTCCAGGGTGAGGAAGTGTCCCGGGGAGAGCACCCCGAGGTCGCTGGGATCTGAACTGGTGGGACAGAGGGGTCTGGAGTTCAGGATAGCTTCTACTTGGGTTATGAGCGTACTGAATTCCTCCACGGTGAGGATCTGTGTCCCCACTACTCGTTTCAAGTGGGTCTTCATCGATTTGACCCCGGCTTCCCAAAGACCACCGAAGTGCGGCGCCGAGGGGGGGTTGAAGGCCCACTGGATTTGCTCCCGTTCCGAGGCGGCCTGCATGCAGCCGACGAGCTCCCGTTGAGCTCCAACAAAGTTGGTGCCGCAGTCGCTGTATATTCGCGAGCAACGGCCGCGTCTAGCGATGAAGCGCCTCAGGGCTGACAGGAACGATTCTGTAGATAGAGAAAAGGCGAGCTCTAGGTGGACTGCCTTAGTTGCGAAGCAGACAAAAAGGCACACGTAGGCCTTGAACGGAGTCGCTCCGCGGGAACGACGATTGTAGACTGGAAATGGCCCAGCGTAGTCGACTCCGGTTATCGAAAAAGGCTTAGCCTGACGTACTCGGTCTAACGGTAGGTCCGCCATGGGCGGTTGCATCGGGCGTGGATTCGCCCTGAAGCACCGATAGCAGCGCGATAGGCAGCGTTTAATGGCCTGATGGGCCCCCAGAATCCAGAAGTTTTGTGACAGGATATAATGCAACGATCGACGTCCCGGATGCAGGTGTAGGCGGTGGGTGCGATCTACTATAAGTTCCGTGAGTCGATGTCGGAAAATTGCATGAAAAAGGGTGGTTTCAAACGAACCAAGTGTCGTACTGTAGTCCTAGCGGTAAATAATACTAAAGCGGCTGCCACTCGAGGTAGCACCTCACTCGTGATTCAAGTACCGGGTAATGGCAATACTCGCGTTCCGATAGAGGCTACGATTCTCCTACGCATCTCCGCCCAATTACCTAGTAGACAAGTCGAACAAAGAGCGTGGAAACACATAGA